GAATAATTAATTTTTAATCAACCTTAAATTAATTATAAAAATAAAGTTATATAAAAATATAAAAAAATAATAAGAGTAATGATTAAAAAATTAATTTTTAATCAACCTTAAATTAATTATAAAAATAAAGTTATATAAAAATATAAAAAAATAATAAGAGTAATGATTAAAATAAAAATTGTCTATTTCAGTTATTTTAGCATTAAAAGATCTTTTATAAAAAATTTTACTAAAGAACTTTTAATTCTACAAGTACTTTTATAAAATATTTTTCCAAACACTCTTAACTTCTCAAAAACAACACTTCTACAACAGAATTCTTTCTAACAGTGCTTCTATCAAAAACTCTAGTCACACCAAACGGGTTCTTAAGTTGATTTTGGTCTATGTAATAGTGTCCTCCCATCTCAGGGTCCAAACAGAAATGGGTGAGGGATGGTTTGAAGGAAAATAGAATTTGAAGACAACCCAAGAACGAAAAACAAAACAAACCCTTGAAAGGGAACCATAAGCTTTGCTGAGCACTGAAAATCAGAGCAATGAGAGGAAACTATAATATGGGGATCGTCCAAATATCAGTTTCTAAAGCATGAGTATTGAAAGAGAAAGTAAACGAATACTAAAGCATGAAGCTTTGCAGGGAGAGATGGAGTTACCAGAAGAAAGAATTGTTGCCATTACCGGAATCAGAACAATAAAAGATTGGTTTTCTCCTCCCTTTTCATTTTTTTTTTTTTTATTAATCTCTTGGTATTTGATAACTACGTTGGATCCGATCCTACTAATTCGGAATTGAGTCGTATCAAATCTCATTAGAAGGAAAACTCTCTCAATATCTATTTTTTTATTTATAAGTTTCAAATTTAAAACTTTATTTAAAAGAAAATGAACTCCTTCCACTTAGATGAAAATGTTGTTGGTTCCTCCCTTTTCACTTTCTTCTCTGGCGACACCTTTATCGTTATCGGCAATCACTCGTGATCGACTGTTCCCTTCTTTATTTCTCCATTTGGGCCTTTTTGAATTTGGGCCTCTCGATGGGTTAGGTTGAACTTGGCTCAAATTGGTTTTGGACTTCTGGAAATATTTTTTTTTCAACTTTTTAACTTGTTTTCTCCTTTCCTCTATTTATTTTCACTGTTC